CCAGGAGCTCCTACACATGCTGTGCACATAAGATCATGCAGGCCCACACACATGAGTGTAAATTTAAAAACGTCTTTAAGCATGTGAGACAAATGTGAACTGACATGTCTTCATCAGGTTGCCCCACCGTGGGCTGTGCTACACAGAGGTGATGGATGGCGTCACCGAGATCCCGAGTGTGGGGTTGGTGGTGCGGCTCTGCACTGCCAGCAGCACGTTATTGCCGCACTCAGGATCATTTCCCAGTGCAGTGCTGCTGAGTTTTCATTCTTCCCTTAACCAAAACCACCTTTGCCACAGAGACAGCTTAGAGAAAGTGTCTAAGGGGAGCCAGCAATTCTCTGTCCCTTTTAACATCCTAAACTTCGCATGGATTAACATGTAATCCTCACCACTACTCTATGGATAGTTAGTGTTCCCATTTTACAGGGGAGGAAATAGAGACACAGGACGACCAAGTAATCCAGTGTCACACAAGTTCATTTTGGAAGTTTACAAATATGCCTTAAGTACATTTCTTTGGGGCTGGGAATATAGCTCAGTGGCAGAGCACTTGCCTAGGGCATGCTGGGCCCTAAGTTTGATTTCTGTGTTCAAGTGTGAGTGAGTGAGTGAGTGAGTGAGTGAGTGAGTGAGTGAGTGTGTGTGTGTGTGTGTGTGTGTGTGTGTGTGTGTGTGTGTGTTCATTCCTAAAGGAATCTAGCTGAAAGCAAGTGTACTGACTACTGTTTGTGTGTGGGGGCGGGAGCTGTTGTTGTTTTAGATAGGATTTCTCTGAGTAGCCCTGACTGTCCTGGAATTTACTCTGTAGACCAGGCTGGCCTTGAACTCACAGAGATCGCCTGCCTCTGCTGGGGTTAAAAGTGTGCACTGCCACCAGTATCACTGCCACCAGGCCTGACTATGTACTTTCCTTACACTTTTGTGATGCTTACTGAAGTAACTCTAAGAGGTAACAGAGATGCCAGTTTGGGTAACCATTACGTGGTAGATTCACCTCAAAATAGAAAAACTGGTAAATAAGAAATTTTATTTTGGTATCAGAGTTATTTTAGGAACTGATACCTATAAAGGATATCCCAGGACAGCAGATCCCTTAGTTCCTAATGAGCAGCTGCCTCACTAATACTTTTGGCCAAGCTAGGGCCATCAGCAAGGAGCCCAGCCCAGCTAACTAACCCTTCTGTTTCTCTGCAGCTAGCCACGGTGCAGCCTGGTCAGAATTTCCACATGTTCACAAAGGAAGAACTGGAGGAGGTGATCAAGGACATTTGAGGAGGAGCCATCCTCAGACATCTGGGGACAATTTCAGTTCTCCTAATTGCCCTTTATTTCCAGCTCTTATGTCATGGAAAAATCTCCAGTATATGTGTGTTTTTTTTTATGATGTCTGTACATAACAGCAGTTCTGAAATAAAAAATTTTAAAATATTTGTTCATTGTCTGTACTCTTACAATTTTAAATACTTGAGTTGGTAAGCAGAAAGGATAGTGGTTAATACCCCTGTTCTGTGAGCATGTCTGTTTTAAAATTATTGCAGTGGTTCTCTGCAATAGTCAATGCCAGCACTTTGGTGCTGAAGATGAATTCTGACTGGTCCAGCACCTCCCAGTGGTTAGTAGATGTTAATACCACTGTCTCTTAAGGAAATATACACTTCTGTTGCTTGCTTTATAAGGAGACACTGCTCATTGACCATCAAAAGACTGTCCTGGGGGCCTCTCCCAAACATTGATGTGTTGGGACAAGTCAACACTGTGACTTTACCCCTTCTTTGTATCTTGATGGACAGTCTGGGAAGGGCACCTTTTTATGAGGTTAAGAACTATTAAAAAGCAAAAAAAAAAAAAAAAAAAAAAGAAACAAACTCAACAACAAAGGAATGGCCTTGACCTCAGTAGCAATGAGAGTTAATACACCTATGTTGTATAAGTAAGAGAACTGTAAAATCAAAGGTAGTTTCTGTTAGACTTTGGAATGCACTATGAAATTCTGTCACTGGAGCTGACCATAGAAACACTACTAAAGGAGAACTTAAGGCTATGTAAGTGTACATAGACAATTAAAAAGTTTGGGGGCTGGAGAGATGGCTCAGTGGTTAACAGCACTCTTCCAGAGGACCCAGGTTTGGTTCCCAGGGCCCACACAGCTCACAATCATCCATAACTCCAGTTCCAACACCCTTTTCTGGCTTCCCCAGACACCAGGCATACATGTGCACAGACATGACAGACAAAGCATCTATACGCACCAGGCCGTGGTGGCGCTCGCCTTAATCCCAGCACTCACGAGGCAGAGGCAGGCGGATCTCTGAGTTCAAGGCCAGTGTGGTCTACAGAGCGAGTTCCAGGACAGTCAAGGCTACGTGGAGAAACCCTGTCTCAAAAAGCCAAAAATAATAATGGTTTTAAATTAACAACAACAAGAAGAAAAAAACCTCTTGGGACTTGATCTCAGGTTTTTAAGGTTTCAAATCACTGGGTCTTGAGTAGCAGGCAGTTTGAATGGTGGTATCGGAAGCATGGCTAGTGTTTATTTGAAGGTGGTAGAGAATCAATTGCAATTCATTGATAGCTTAAGAATCATTTGCTGGGCTTTTCATTCAGAAGTTGTACTTTGATGTTAAACAGTAACTATTTGGGTAGCTGAATTCATACAGTATTCATGGTGTAGTGAAAAGTAGCTTGTGCTGATGTACATTTGAAAACTGCAATTCACAGGAAGTTTTGCGCTATGTACATACACAATGAAAATAGAGAACTCAGGCTCATCATCAACATCCCACAAGTTTCTAGTGATGTTAATCCTGTTATAAAGTATGATGTGAGATTCGTTTAGCCCCTGGCCAATATAGTAAATGGTAGTAGGAAATACTATTAAAAGTCTTCTATCAGAGGTGAGGTGAGGGAATGGGAGAAGAGGAGGGAGGGGAAACTGGTCTGGGTGTAAAATGAATAAATTCAATTAATAAAGAATATTTTTAAATCCTGTTTCAACTTAGTCATGTAAGAAATGTATTGGGACGCTGTCTACTATTTAAGTGAGGCACTGGGGATATAGCTGTGAAAATGCCATCAGTGGTCTCCGTACAGCCTCTGAAAATCACACCATTGGGAAAAGAGGCAATGGTCCCTTTTCATCGATGTGCCTGTGAGCCTGAGTGTATGTGAGGAGCATGAGAGGGCCTGAAGAGGGTGCTGGACACCCTGAACTACAGGTGGTTGTGAGCTGCCGTGTGTGCTGAGATCTAAACCTGGGTCTTCTGCTAGAGCCGCAGGTGCTCCTAACTGCCGAGCCATTGCTCCAGCCCCCAGCATTCCTTTTTTTTTTTTAACTTAAAAAAAATATTTAGTATACAGTGTTCTGCCTACATGTCTTCCTGCAGGCTATAAGAGGGCGCTAGATCTCATTATAGATGGTTGTGAGCCACCATGTGGTTGCTGGGAATCGAACTCAAGACCTCTGGAAGAGCAGCCAGTGCTCTTAACCTCTGAGCCATCTCTCCAACCCCCCAGCATTCCTTCTTAACGCTGTAGATTAATGCAGATGTGGACATGAAAATACTGTTTTGAAGAGATGAGAGCTAAGGAAAACTTAGTGTAGTTCTTCCAGATTACAGTTCTTTCTCCCATTTCCAAGACAGATGTCTGCACTTTATAACTTAAGTGACGTACTAGCTATAATTGCAATGTGCATTGTTTAAAGAGAGATGTTTAATTTCTTTTTTATAAAATGTTTAGGTTACTTGTGTCCAAGAAATTACCTTACCTCAAAAAGGAATGGTTTTGTGATAATTGCCTATTAACATTTTTGTTACAAATAAATTTGGGGAAAGTAGTTTTTAGTAACTTTACATTTATAATTTACATACTTCTGGGGATAAAGTAAGATCTGGTGTAGTCTACCTCAAAGGGTAAGATCCTAGGTTTAGTTTAATACCCCTTGTTGCAAAAAAAAAAAAATCGGGTGCATGGGCAATTTACCATGTCAATTTGGGGAAGTCTAGCACACCATTAAGTATGTAACTAAAAACAACCTATTAAAAAGTGAAGGTTGAGCCAGGGGTGGGAAGTAGAACTTGGGAAGTTGAGGAAAGAGGATCAAGGATTTGAAGCCACCCTGGGTTTCAAAAACAGACCCCCCCAACACACACACCATATATACAAACATATAAAACCTAAAGAATTGTACCAATTGCTAAAAGATGTGTCTGGTAGTTTCTCCAGCAGGTGGCACTATTGAGTTAGCTTTATTTTTTCCCATAGAAAGACAATAGACCATTCATCTTTGTCACACAAACAAAGAAATATTCCTTTGTAGCCCCTCTTCTCCCCTCCATAACTGATCACATGCTACTGGAACTGACTGCCTTGTGATCTAATCCATAGTTGGCACGAATAAAAAATAAGCTGTACTTTAAAAATGATGTGACGTTATATTTATGGAAAGAAACATCATTTTTCATCTTGTTTGGTAGCTCAGAAACTGGATCACTTTTTCTGTTGATTTGCCATCCTGCTCAGCATTCAATGACTTCACATATCACTTCTTAATGTGGTTTGAGGGAGGGGAAAGAAAACCTAAATATTTAAATAGGTTTGTTTGCAAGGAACAAAACCAGTACTTCGAAGTACATGCTCTGGGGTTGGTGTAGCATTTCTCATTACAGCAAAACTCTCATTTGGGATTACTGTTAAAGTTAAAAGTAACTTCCAGTTTGTTTTCTTTCTGGTATAATATTTGGCATACTCTGTATCTTTTTATCTGGCTTTGTGTGTTCCTACTGAAAAACTTAAAACGCTGGGAAGAGAAGAAGCTAAGGATTTAGAACTGGTTTTACCAGCACTGCATGTTCTGGAAGTTGTGTGCGCAGCTTCTGCGGTGTAGGGAACAGTGGAGGGTTTATTTACTGAAGGGGGGCACTAATTTGGGGGGCATCATATTCTGAGAAGAAACTGGTGCGATACACTCACAGCAGGATTAAGGGTATTTTAGTTAACTAAAATCACAAAGTGCCTGTATTGAAAGGGTCATATATAAAGTAGGTTTTAGGTAAGTCTCTTCCTGTTTACCTACACTTGATGGCAAAGTTACCAACATTTCCAAGTCCAGGAAAGCCAGTAAGTAATTCCGCCTCTGGACTACCTCCCTGCAGACAGGAAGGTGGCTGAGGCCAAACGTATTGGAAAGACTTTTGCGGCTTGCAGAAGTCACGGGTGTAAAGATGTTCATCTGCCTCCATAGGATCTTCGTATTCACCTTCTTGGCTCTTTAAGCAGACAATGGGCGAGCCAGAAGGCCGGGGTTAAAATCCTGATGCACCAGTTTATGTCGGAGCCCCTTTTCCAGCTGAGAGTAGTTCAGGGATTCCCTGACTTTTCCAGGCGCAGTTTCCACCGAAGGAATTTTTAGGAGCATTTCAGCGGGCGGGGGCGGGGAGAGAAGGCAACGTGACCCAATCCCAACCCGAGGGTCTCTGGAGGCGCCGCGAACCCGGGGGCTGAGCTGGGAGGTGGGGGAAGCCCCCAGGCCAACTCGCGGAGCCCAGCCCGCAGACGCCGAGCGACGGTGGGGAATGACCTCAGCCGTCCCTGCCACGTTCCAGCCAATCAGTCCCGCATCTTGGCATCCGAATCCAGGACCCCCGAAGCCGTAGGCGACGCGAGCCAATGAGGAGTGGGCTCGGGAAGAAGGACAGGCGGCCAGCCTATGGGGGAGGAGAGGCCCGGCTGCGCGTATCCAAGCAGCGGCGGACTGGGCTCGGGGGTGTGGCGCAGCGCCGGCGGGGGTGGGCGGGCGCGCCGGGTGGCAGGTGTCAGCGGCGTCTGCATTCGGCGGCGATGGAGCGGCCCCGGGGAGCTGCGGACGGCCTCTCGCGCTGGCCCCTCGGCCTCCTCCTGTTCCTGCAGCTGCTGCCGCCGTCCGCCGTCGGCCAGGACCGACTGGACGCGCCGCCTCCGCCCGCGCCGCCTCCGCTGCGCTGGGCCGGGCCGGTCGGGGTGAGCTGGGGGCTGCGCGCCGCCGCGCCCGGGGGCCCCGTCCCCCGCGCTGGCCGTTGGCGCCGCGGCGCGCCCGCCGAGGACCAGGGCTGCGGCCGCCTCCCGGACTTCGTTGCCAAACTGGCCAACAACACGCACCAGGTGAGCGCGCGGGGGCCCGGGAGCTCCCCCCACAGTGGGGCCGCCCCTCCCGGCTCGCGGTCCCCCCTCGGCCGCCCCGCTCCCGCTGCAGGCTACGAGGGTGGCGCGAGACCCTGGCTGCGGAGGGCGGCGGGGCGCGGGGGCGGCGCGGGTCTTGGTGGCTGCGGCCCGCCGGGCTGTGTGTCGTCACAGCCGAGGCAATCCGAGACTTTCACTGGCCGCATTCTTTGCTTGTGAAGTTGTCAGAATCTCCCGGTCATCCCCGTTTCACCCCCCAGCCCCCACCCCGAATCTAGAACATCGGGTCCACCAACGCTGTTACCTACCAGGAAGCTGGAGGCATAATTACCTCTTGAGTGATTGCAGGAGAAGTTGGGCTGCCCAGAAGCAGAGGTGTGCCCTCTTCTGGGTCGGTACTTTCGGGGCGGTGAGGCTGGCGTCCAGAAATCCCACAGCAGTTGTTAGGTCAAGGCTTGTGTTTCCATACTTAAAGGAACACGCATGGAAACGAAGATGACATTGAAAATGACATCTCCGCTGCTCCTAAAAAAAAAAAAAAAAAAAAAAAAAAAACGGTTCAAGATGTTTTCTTGTGATGCAAGCACAGAACCCTCTGACCTGGCCCAAAATGACCTTGAGAGGCTTTCCGAATCAAACCCTGTGTGCAGAGCCTAGAGAACAGAGCAGGACCTCCAGGAGCTAGACTAGAAGCAGTTGCAGTACAGACCAAAATTATCCAGAAGTTCCATCTGGATTGCTTCAGAAAGTTTCCAACTGTCCCAAACATAAGTCGAGGTTATAACACATCATCCCCCCCCTTTATAACCTGTAAGGCACCCCCAGGCTATTTAATTTCCTTTGTTTCTGACCCATTGTGGAAATAGGCTCCACGGTGCCATGTTTCCTTATAGGTGGACCTACGATGAGACACTCTTTGTAGAGATACTGGTGTTGACTTCTGTGTGTGACCTCGGAGGAGTCTATGATCTGTCTTATTCCTTTAATGCTGGCCTCTAGCCGGGTGTTGAACCCTGATCAGGCCCACTCTATCCTGTCCTGATTTATAATAACTATAAAACATACTGCAGAGGTTCCTCTTAAGCCTGCTCTTGGTCAAGACTTTACAAGTTGTGTTGCTTCTGTTTTTGGGCACAAGTATCTGAACCTTGACACATTGCTGCATTGAGAAACTGTTAGGAAAGTCTTGGTTTCGGCATAACTAGAGCGTTTTCCTCCTCTATTTTGCTAAAATTAACAATTGCTACAACCCACACATGGGGAAGGCATCTTCAGAGTTTCTCTGTTATGTCTTTTCCTTTTTTCAAAGAGAAATTGAGCCCCGAGGTGGAAGCGGGTGGCTGGTGTTCAGTACCTGTTCTGTCTCTGTTTACATTCCATCTCAGTGTCACTGGAACCTCGGTATCCCCTTGGGCTTTCTTTTGAGATCCATCCTTGCTAGTGTGACATAATTCTCCAATCAGGGGACACAAGGACAACGGTGCTGATGAGCCCAAGCAGCAAGCTATATGAGGGTAGTTAAGGGGTGCTGAAGGTTAAGACTGGTTGGGCACAGATAGAGTGGAATAAATACTGGAAAATCTCCCTATCTAATGAACAAAATGGTGTAGACTTCCCTTTCTCAGTAGGTTGTTAAAAAAGAGTTTGCAACACCGATACTTAATGCAAATTATGCCAGGCCCACAGCTGCTCCCTTGCGCCGGCCAGACCCAGCAATCCCTATGTCAGACCCAGCAATCATATGTCAGACCCTTCTCTTGTCGCATGACGCAGCTTCAGATCACAACAACCCCAGTTGGATATGTCATCAATAATATACCGATTCCAGAGGAAGGCACAGAGAAACCTGGTTCAAGAGACTCGGAAACCTCCTTCTTTGGAGTTCATAAGCAAACAGTTTTCTCTATTTCATTTTATAGTTACAGCTTGTTGGGTTTTTTCTTCTGTCTTCTCTATTAAAATGGCCCAATCCCCCCACCCCAGTCATTGCCCTTCCATAATTATTCTTAATTGAGTTTACCCTTTTTGTAATTTGAATGCCTGCACTTTTATTGTTGCTTAAGAGGGACCTTTGATAACTGCCTTAGAAGTCAAGGTGGTTCTCAAAAGCTCAGCTTCTTTCAGAAATTACATTGTAATTATGAAGTAATCTCTTGTGTTTTTCAAGTCTGCGTTTTCTCAGATGTCATAATAACATCACTACACTGGACTGAAGAGATCTGTTATTTGGGGACCCTTTATAACAGGGTGCAATAAAAGCATCAGTGTAACAGAACAACTTATTTATTAAATTTATTGTCAGAGACATTGTATGTTTTCAGACAGTTGGAGTGGGAAGGTGTTCTTTGGAGTTTTTTTTTTTTTTCTGTATAATGTAAAAGGATCCAATCCCCCCTCCTCTCTCCAAAACCACAGAAGTTCTTAGTTCTCATTTCTTACAAGCTGGTGTTCTTTTCCGATCCTATCTTGAGTGCCTGTGAATGCTTCCCAAAGGCCCAAAGCTAGGCGGGGGAGGGGCTGCCGAGTTACAAAGGTATTCAGACACGACTGTGCACAACCGCTAAAGGTTTTAGCAGGTCTCTAGACTGGCTCCTATAGCTTATAATAATTTATACGGTGGGGGGGTTGCTAGGGGTTAAACACACCCTGCTCATACTAGGCAAGTGCTTGCTCTGCCACTAAGCCATATTCGCAGCCCCGGCATTTCATCTTGAGAAATTTACAGAGTAAAGGGTATGCCTTTGCAGTGTGGCTTTTCACCCCATCCTGTACCCGGGGGCTTCTTAACTCATGCAACCCAGTGAGCTGGCTTCTTCCCCAGCCTCCCTGTTTCTCCTTAGGCTTCCTTTCATGGTCTTCCTGATGTTGGTTGTAAGTCCGTTTCAAGTGTGTTGTGTTTATTTGGATGGCACATTTTTTCACATAGGGGTCATAATGAGTCAGTGCTCTGTGAGATTGAAGTAAGCAGAGAAAATACTTCTTTTTCCTAGTTACAGTGTTATCAATCAGTACTATAGGCTGGTAAGAAAGAAAAAATACTGACTGTTACTGAAACGGCAAAAAGAATGGCAAGAAAACGAAGGCGGAAGATCACCGCTTACATCTTTCAGAAAAAAGTCTCTACTTCCTGATCTTGTTCTGAGGGTTTGGCATGCCATGGAAAGGCCCTGGGGCAGGCGCTGGGCAGGCTTGCCAGCATTTGAGTCCTCACTGTGTTGTTATGTTATCTTCCCTAAGTTACTTAAGCCTCCACATCTCATCCCTAATCTTTAAAATGGAGCTAAACATGCTTAGGAGAAGCAAACAAGCATGCATACAGATACAAGATCCGCCCTGCGTTAGTGGACCCGAGGTCCCTGGTACTTAGCACTCAGTTACAAGTGTTGCTTTTGTCATCCGTGGGCTGTCTTAGCCTCAATCGGCTTCTATTGCTCTTAGCCCCAAACTGTTACCAGGCCCCAGTATAAAGCGACTGTTGCTTTTATGTGTTTGGACTGTTCACAGTTCACATAACCTTTGTACATAGGAGAAATTGGGCAGGCCCAGAGGATTTTCTTAATCTTGGTTGCTAAGTTGGGTTGCTTCAAAACATTCCGCCATAAGCACCCCTTTGAGGGTAGGCATGGGAGTCTGTCTTAAAGAAACAGTAGACATGTCTTTCTTGGCCAGAATCACAGTGGTGGCTGACATAATTTCCTTGCTTCTCATTCGTGTGTACGGACCATTTGATAATTTCCTTAAAAGTTCTTAACTTATGATTAACAGGGCCGGGAGCCGTTGCTCGCTCCTCCCTCGGCTCCTGTCACTGGCTACTTTACCCATAACTTCCCAGCTTCTACCCTGACATCAAAGCCTCTGGTTCCTTAAGCAAACAGGCCCTGTGGAGAGGCTGTTGTGCGGCCTCAGCCCTGAGAAGAATGCCTGTGTTTGTTTGCCACACTGGCAGGGCTGAGTCCCGGCAGACGGGCTTGGTGTGTCTGTTGGCAACTCGGAGAGCTACTGCTCCAGCCTGTTGGGGATCACCAGACCTTTGTGACACCCGAAAATCTTAACTTTAACTGTCCCAGAACGTCCTGCCTCATCTACCCCAGCAATAGCCTGTCTTCATTCTGCCCCCTACCCACCCCCATCCTCCAATTCTCCATTTCCACTCTGCTTACAAGGCCCTTTCCATTCAATTTCGGGTCAAGGCACAGGAATTCAGGAGGCCTCTTGGTCCTGGTTGAGAGTGAGCCATGGCCTCCGGAGGAGCAGCCCTCTCCCATACAGACCAGCCTGCCAATGATTTTAGAGTGACACAGGCTTTGGATTCCCGGAGGAACCGCCTGCAGCTGTGATGAGTTAGATAGGTCTCTTCCACCTGGGGAAAGGCTGGTCTCCCAAGGGCTGACCTTTGGTTGACATGGAGGTAAAAAGCCTAGCCAGGTGGACAAATGACTCAAAAGGAATAGGATATAGTAGTTAGGTAAGTTCACTGCTGCCTCCGGTATTTGCCGCTATGAACTACAATTTTTAGCTAGAAGTTCGTGTGTTCTCTCTGCCTGGGAAGGTGACTGGAAGCAACTCCTGTCTGGTCCGTTTCTAAAGCGTCTCCTGTCAGCGACACTCTGCTCCGTCCGCTCTTCTGTTCTGCTTTTTCGTGTCAGGCTCACAAAGGGAGGATGCCCACAAGTTCTCCTGAGCTCTGTCATTTGCAAGCAGCTGTCAGCAGGCTTCGTCTCCCAGTGGGTGGCTGCCATGTCTGTACACCTCGGTTTCGTCATTGGTGATCTCTTACCCTGGTGATTACCAGATGGCATGTGATGCCTAGCGCCACTTGTGGGCATCAGGCGGAGAACTTTCCTCCTCTTCCTCCCCCTCCTCAAATCCTGTCCCGTCTCCCACCACCTCAATCTCTGCTATCCAGGAAATGATGGCTTCATTCGGACACAGGAGAAACGAGGCTCAGCTGTTTTATACAATGAGAAACTAATGTTGAGGCA